AAGCTTGAAGACTTTGGAGCTGAAGCCAGAGATAGTCATTGCTTAGAGGACAAGAAAAATCAGAGTCTGAGCCAGTCTTCATACTTGTTTGTTTAAGGAAGGCCTTTCCTTGGCTGCTGGCAATCAGGGTGACATCACTTAGTTAACTCAAGCCTCTTGCCTGTTTGCTTTCCAGAAGAATTCCCACTTAATTTACTTCACTGAAAGGTAGAACCCTCCGAGCTGCTGGTACAGTCACATGGATTTGGTACAGTTCCCTTGCCTGGGCACTTGCTGACTTGCCACATTGACATTTCCTTCCACTTCAGACCGATGTGCTTTTCATCTTCCCTGTGCACATAGTTGTGGTGCTGACTCTGGGCTCGGCAGGGCTGTGGGTGTCAGCTCTGCCAGCTCCACTGCCCACTACAGCACAGCCTGAACCTTGGCAGCACTGGGGCTTAACAATCCTTAATTAGGGACCTGTGTGAATTGCAGATATTAAAGAACTGAAACTCAATCTTTCTTAAATTTAGCCCGCACAGGTAACAGATGCACATTAGCACAGATATCAATACACATTTCCCTGTCTTGGTCTGGAAGTACAGTATAGTATTATCCATCCAGCATAGTTGACTTCCAGTATTATGGATTTATTTTTATATTACTATTTATTAAAAAAAATAAAATCTAACCTCCTCAGGTAGTTTCACTCTGCTATCCTGCCCCCAGTGACCAGTAGAAGATCCCAACACCTTAAGCCACATCACCCTGGCAATTTGAGTTACCACTCTCTGGGCAGTGGTCACCTCTTGCTCACAGCTGCTCTTTGTGGCATGGATCACTGCTGGTAGGTGAATTTTGACCAGCCATGTAATGAATGGTTCATCCTACAATAGGCACCTAAAACATCTCCCATTATTTCTTCCTGATCTTTAGTTCAAAGAACAGATGAAAACACAAGAAGAAAATTGTTCCCTATTTCATCCCATTACCCTGCCCCTCTATAAAAAACAAAACCAATAGCTGACAAGTATTTCCTGGTAGAAGACTCAAAACATTTTCTACCTGTAAATTCAGCATCCTCTGAATTTATAAAAGCAGTGTGCTCTCATCTGGCACCACTCAAAGAGGCATTAACCTCTGCCCTAAGGAACTGCACACAGTTCATATTCTCCACCAGCTGAACACGGTACCTCGTTCCTTCATGCCTGCTCCAGCAAAGCACAAACATTCCCTTGACTCTGATCAAAAGTTCTTCTCGTGAAGCAGCAGGTTTGTACAGATGAACTCTGACCAGGGTACACAATATGCTTGTCCTGTACAGGCTGGGGCTCATGTTATGCAGATGCTCTTACACAGAGGTAGTAATGTGCCAGAACTACTTTTCTAAGAGTTGGGCTCTTCATTGGAAGTTAACGTAATGGACCAGGGGGGTGATCTTACCCCTGTACTCAGCACTGGTGAGGCCACACCTCCAGTCCCGTGTTCAGTTCTGGGCCCCTCACTACAGAAAGGACATTGAGCTATTAGAGTGTGTCCAGAGCAGGGCAACAAACGTGATTAAGAGTTTGGAGCAAATGTCTTACATGAAGTGGCTGAGGGAGCTGGGGATGTTTAGCCTGGAGATAAGGAGGTTGAGGGGAGACCTTATTGCACTCTACAGCTGCCTGACAGGAGGCTGTAAAGAGGTGGGGGTTGGCCTGTTCAATGAAGTTACAAGTGATAGGACAACAGGTAACGGCCTCAAGTTGCACCAGGGGAGGTTTAGATTGGATGTTAGGAAGAATTTCTTCAGTGAAAGGGTTGTTAGGCACTGGAACAGGCAGCCCAGGGCAGTGGTGGAGTCACCATCCCTGGAGATATTTAAGAGTCGTGTAGACACAGTACTTAGGGATTTAGTTTAGTTAAGGACTTGTCAGTGGTAGGTTGATGGTTGGACTCCATGACCTAAAAGGCCTTTTCCAACCAAGGTCATTCTGTGATTCCATGATGTCTGAAGGACAAAAATTACTACTTTGTTCAGAAAAAGTTTGGCTCACTTATTATGATGATTCTGGAAATTCTATAAATTTTCATTGATACAATGATCGTTTTTTCTTTTAAATCTTGCTCAGCTTTTCTCCTAGCATTGCTGGTGGAAGTGAGTGCCATTGATTTAACAAAAAACATTTCTATCTGATTTGTATTTGTCACCTCTGATTTGAAGACAAATGTAAAAACTGGGCCAATAAATCCTACAAGACAAAAATAGAAGTTATTCACCCATTTTCTCTGTGTTAGTCATAACCACAGCTATTTTTAATCTCTCATTCTCTTCAATCTCTCTATAATACTTCTGTTGTCTCATTATTTTTATCATTTTCCAAGCCCTAAGGAACTTGTAATATAACATGTTTGCCCATGATGCCCAGAACTCAGTTCTGGACTAATCAGGTAATTTTAAAATTCTGAGCTGTATGAGTACTTTGCTCTCTCTAACTATGCTGGCCCTTTGCATTAAAAACTGAACCTCATTTGTCACTGTGATCCATTCCATGAGCTTGATAAGGTACCACTTTAATTTCCTTATTGATTAAAAAAACCCCTACCTTGTCAATTTAAAAACAAAAGCAGAAGTCAATCATAACTAATGGAAAAACAGAGATCATAGAGAGGTATTTGTAATTTTACAGTCTAGTATAATAAATTCGTAAGCAAATTAGCTATTACATTGTAACCCTCTCCACAGTCATGTACACATGGTGCAGAAGGACAAGGATGCTGCTGCCTTAGGAGGATTTCTAACAACTTACTATCATGAACCATATATTATTGTCAGCTTCTTGAGTAACAACAAAGACCTTTTACTATGCTCTGACAACAAGCTTGCTTCTGACAAGTTGTAGCCAAGGGAGAGTATCTACAAAGAATCTAAGTACTTCAGAAGAAATAAAGAGGGTAGGAACTTTCCTATAAGAAATTGACAGACCTTGGCATTTCCCCAGATTTAAGCCCAGGAATCCCATTGGTTTCCATGCTGCAAGTGCTGTTAATAGTCAATTCAGACCACACACATAACTCAGAATCTGCTTAGGCTTACCTACTTATCTAGCATAAAGTCAGAGTTTTAGATGGAGAAGTAAATCCATCTTCCTCTTTGCTTCCTGAAGTAAGATTTGCATAACCAATCTTATCAGAGCACACAGGGAACCACAAAACACACAAGCTTTACTTCCCCAAAGAGCAGCAGCAGAAAATCCCAACTTCAGCCAGCCCAGAAACATCTGCCTTCCTTCTTACTTGTGAAAGGGAAAGGAAGGTCCTTCAAAGTGCCATATATTTCTCTTCTAAATTAAATCACTCTTCATCCTGTTACAAATGCAGAACACCAAGGAAAGCAGACTGCAGAGATCACCACTGTGTTAGTATCAACACAGCCCCTTAGCAAAGCCTTTAACACTACAGCAGCCACACCTCCTTCCCTCAGCAGCTGAGCTAATCCCTAAAACTGTTTCAACAGCCATACTTTTGCTATTATTTAGGAAGACAGAAGCTACAGAAGTTATTTTCACTGCTATGAGGTATTATTCCCCACACATGTGAATATTAATTTCTGACTGCCAGCATACACAATGGTAGGGGAGATGGATGTGGTCCCTTTGTAATATTTCAGAATATGAAGGGCTCCAATTAATCCTCTCCTTTCCTCATGGCATCTATTAACTTATCCACCGGGAAAACATAATTTCTATTAGTGAAAATCAAACGTCAAAATCTTCAACATATTATCCCACCACTCAACAGCCTGACCTTGCAAAGACTTAGCTTTAATCTTTATGGGCTGCAAGTATCCTCTTGACTCCAATCTGCTTAGAAGAGAGGCACGTGCATGAACTTTAGCAAGGCTGAAGGATCTGGGATTAAGAGCTACTGCTTTTGTTCTGGCAAATATGCAATCCACAATACAAAGCATCCAAGGAAAAAGGTAGGAATCTTTTAGCACTTCTCCCCCACTGTTTTCCTCACACAACAGAAATTCCCTGCAATGGGCAGAACTCCTGACAAGTTGCAGGAAAATTAAAGCAACGGTTCTACCCGCTTTCTGCAGGAGTTATTTTGGCAAGCTCAGGCCTTAAATGCCAAGGAGCATTTCAGGATTTGCTTGGACATGCACATATATGCGTCTTATTCATCTCAACAAAAGGGAACTCCACATACTTGGCTATTCAAGCTCGCCAAATATTTTACTAGAAGGTACTTGATTTTCATGTATTTGTACTGTATTAAGTACCTAGCTACTTTTTCAAACCAAGATTACATTTCAAACATCCATTTTTCAAAATCAATACATCTGAAAGTCTTGTTAACTAAGAGAACATGTCCTGCCTCAGCCTGTTCCTTTATCCTGCTTTGTCATAGCCATTCCACACCCGAGCCTGTGTTACATAGGTGCTCAGCATTTTGGAAATGGGAAGTTGCATTTTTTAGTTAAAGGTTATAGCATGCTCCTAGTAGCTTTCTCAAGCTGATGTTTATCAAACTTCCTAAAAAGATACAATAAGGTGTGTGTCCCTACAGTTACTTCTTTAGCAACTAAACTGCGTAGTACAAGGGAATCCACCCCCTGCCAAGACTGGTTTATAGACAATGTTGTTATCCTAGTTCCAAACACCCTACGAGGTACGTGCATGTTCTTCACTATGAGTAACTGAAGACACCAAAACTTGCAGTACAAGTATATAACTTGTGTGAAGTACCCCAGGGTATGACACGGCTGCGCACTCCAACTGCAGCTCTCCCTGTTGGCATTCTTCTCCAACGGAAAAAAAACAACCAACCAACACCTGTGGGCCACCTATTTTGGTGCAAAGAGAGGAAAAAAAAAACAACCCACTAGCAGTTTTCAGCAGGTTTTGTCTCCCCTCTTTTTTTTTTTTTAAAAAAAAGAAATAAATGGAGAGCTTAATTTAGTTTCCAAATTACGAAGTATTATTAAAAGTAGTTAGAGACCAGTTAAAACCCTTGAAACAGCACCAAAATGCACTACAATATTCTTTTATTTAGTTTACAGAAGAGTCTATCAGTACAGGTTGCAGAAAGAAAATGTTTAGTGCTATTTACAATTTGTTTTAAAACTCTGCTCTATACAAATTTAATTCTGATCAGTATGAACAATATTTTTGTAAATCTACTGCATATAAAGCATTTCGTCAAAGCAGTAACAATGAATAAAATAACCTGATTACATTTGAATGATGCCAATCATTCGAAAAAACGATTACACAGAACATCTGTAAGAGTTGTGGACACTTAAGTACAGACACAATGTCAACCTGTGACTCATTTTTTTCAAAGGCTAAAGCTATTTATATGGAATATTGTTCTATTATACTACACGCCAATCTATATTTAACTTCTATAGTTATGTATTTTATAAGATTTTTATTAAATATATTCTACACATATTTGTAATTTCACCCAGGAAGAATTCCTCCCCAGTGAAAAAATATAAAATCTTTTATATTTTTTTATTTTTATTTATTTTTATTTTTTACAGGTTTAGATGAAACTAGCTCATGCTTTAGTGCTGTGCAAATTTCTTTAGCATATCAACATTTAAATTATTGATATGAAATAAACGAATGGCATCCTTTTAAATTATGTATGCCTTCAAAAATCAGCTTCTGATTTTATTACAATTGCAAGCACTAATATCAAATGCAGATTACGTAAAGAAACAAAACTAGTACTATGGCAGAGGTTTTTTCTTTTTGCTTTTTCAACTTTAATAATTTTTTTTTTTAAGTTTCTAATGAGTAAGCATGACGGTGGACACTAAGGTACAGGTGAGAAATGACTGAAAAACACCAATTGCCAATATTCAAATACATAAAATTGATTAGTAAATAATGTTTCCTAACGTTTATGCACAATAATAAAAGCCTATGAACTACAGGAAATTACCCCTCCCATATTAAGGCTAGGAAATGCACTCTCTGCACTTGTTTGTGCTGTCTCAATAAGCACTCAGCTAACCTAGGAGATCAGAGTGCAACGCAGTAACGAAATAATCCATTTCGTCAGCCCTCCCCAGAGTGCTTCTAAATTACAGGCACATCATTTGTTTTTTTTGTTTGCTGCAGTGAAAATATATATAGTTAGACTTGGTTTAGTTAGTATTCTGTGCCAGTTAGGCCACTGAGGTTGACTTAGGTAGAATTGCTGTAACAGCTTTTCCTTTCATTTGGCCATAAGTGAGATTTGTTTTAATTATAGATAGACAATTTTCCAGTGTTGCAATACACGTTGTAGATTATTATTATTAGGTGTCTCAAATATTGTTAGAGATTGTTGATGATAGACTGTCAACCACACTTAGTGCAAACTGCATCTAATAAGCTTGACTGGTTAGATCCGGTTAATGGAGATTTCTGTGGTAGCAAAGTGATTCCTGCTATGGAAAAGAACACACCAAATTTTCAGGAGACTGAATTCTTCCAAGAACTGATGTACTGTAAGATTATTCAAAAAACAAAAAGGAGGAATTAAAAAAAAAAAAAAAAGAAGAAGAAAAAAGAAAAGTGTTCATAGATCTTTCTCTTAAAAAAAAAAGACTAATGAGACAGTGTTCGTGTAATACTTCAGTTCCACGGATTTACAGACAGGCTCTTCCTACAGGTGTCTGAAGCAGGGTAGGGCCTCTTCTATTCCAGCAGCATGAAAGACAAAGACTATATTACATCACACTTAGCAGGTAAAGCTAACAGGGTTACAGGATTACACAGCAATTGCTTTCTCCAGTTTTTTCACGGTTCCTCTGACCTGTGGAGCAAGAAAAGAGTTTTGCTTACACTCCATTTCTAAAGCAATTGGGTTAGTTTGTGTCTGAGTATGATCAATACAAACTTTTAAAAATTATCTTTTTAAAAAAGATAATAATTATTATAGACATGCTCACAGAACGGAAAAGTAAATCAGGAGTAGATTTTAACAATAAAAATGAAAGCTTCTAAGGTTTAAGTAAATGTCTGCATTTTACAAAAAATGGTAAAACCATAAAGTGAATTTCTTAGTTTTCTATAAGCAACATGTACAAAAGCATTTCATTACTTGCTTCACAAAAGACCATAGGACTTGACTTTCCTCTATGATGAATCACTCAGAAAGCCTGGAAGAGATCTGACTGCTTTGCCACGTACTTGAGGGAGAAACAGCTGTAGTGCTCAGCTTACCTTGAGAGTTTGGCTCTGGCAATGTCTCTCTAGCCACCAAATGCATCACTGTTGTTTTGCCAAAAGGAAGTTTTAATGCTGCAAAAGGAGAGAGGGAGATTTATTGATAGATTAGAGCAGTCTTCTTTCTTCAAAACACCCTATGGAAGCTAACTATAATTGGATTACCATCTGCTGAAGAGGTCATGCTGCTAGGTTTGAGCTGCTTGCTGAGTAGATTTATAAAGGTGTTTCTGGCTAAATTTTTGTAGATCTGGGTCTTGGGACCTGATAATAATCACTTAAGACACCGTGTTATTAGAGACATGATATTCCTGTTAGGAAACAGCTTTCCTCTGTTGAGTAAAAGCAGAAGTAGGCATCCATGCCAAAGCTCAGGTGCTAAGCACTTTATTGATAAGGATGCCAAAAAGTGGCCAACTCAGCCACTAAATTGTTGCTACTGAGACATCAAAACACTGAGCCACTACTGCAAAACAGATTTATATAAAATCTATTTTTATCCATGATACAGATTTTGTGAAATACAAAATGCCTGCATCTTCTTGCCTTTCAATATTAAACTGTAACATCGGCTGCATGTGAAAAACACAAAATGTAAAACATTTTTAATCAGATAAAGCAGTTCTCACAATGCTGCCTTTGTGGGCTTTAGTAACACAAAATAACACTACTGAAGCTCTCCTCAATTTGTTTTGCTTGTTTCTGAAAATAAAATTCTAAAATTATCATTTTCACATTCTGATTTAAGTATACCAACACAGTGCTATATTTATGGTTTTTGCAATGTAGTATGATATTTATCAAAACTTCTAGTCTCCTTGAAAAGATTCTATGTTGCCCATTATATCTACCAGATCCTCATTGCCAGATTAAATATTCTGAACTTTGATATACTTCAATTATTTGGAGGGGAGCTATTTTTACAAGTTCTTCACATAACTTTAGTTTTGTTTCCTCTCTCCAACTCCTATGATTAAGCACCTTGATAAATTTTCAGAGAAATTGAAGATAAAGATGCTATGTCTAAATTTCATATCTCCCCCCCCATAAAGGAAAAAAAGTTAGTGATAAATGTAGTAAGAATTTAAGCCTAACTACACAGATCATTCTGACTTGAGTAGAATTTGTCCTCTCAAATCCAGTTTACATCTTCTGATTTCACAAACAGTGCACCAAGGTATTTGAAGTGAAAAATGCATAATGAATGTCCAATACAACTGAAGGTAACTGAAGAGAATGATGTCTCTAGTTTAATCACCACAGCATAGAGTCAAAACCAAGTAATACAAAATAAATCAACCTAGCACTGGGTTACTGCATGTATTAGGTACAAGGCTAGCCACAACATTGCTACTAAATGATGTACATCCCCTGTGTGTGTCTGAAAAAATGCAAGTTGTGATTAAAACACAGGTGTAAGCATATGGAGAGATACACAGCTCCACAAGCTGCTCTGAAGTAGCTGTACACTGGCAATTGCCTTATGTATAGATAGTCAGATCTGAAAGTTGCTTGGTTTACTTGAAGCTCTGCCTGTGCCTGCAACTAGAAGCTATTGATATCTTTAAGTCTGACAAGGATGAAGTATTTTGTGTTCTTGATTCTGTCATACAATTGAAAACTCTACAGAGATCATATTAACAGTCTGTTAAACTCAATGGAATAGGATTGTCCTGATGGAGTGAACTCTTAAGAAGCAAAAAGTGCAAAATATTACAAACTAATCACATCAGGGACACCTTTTATAGTATCAAGACACTTGAGGAGACTTGATTAGTGAGCTGTGGATATTAATTATTTACAGTAATCAAGTAAAAGTATGCTAATGTTTCAATTAACTAATTTCAGTTAGTAGTTCGCATAGTTCACACAAGTTCTTATTAGCAATTTCCAGCATCTTGCTTGGAGCACCATGACAGAATCTGGGCACACTAACCTATGCTCATAATCCTTTCTTGCTCTTGTCTTCGTTTTCTCACCCCTTTCTCTCACTTAAACTAAACTTGTAATTCATTCCTTTCCCATCTGTTTAATTCCACTTTTATTACAGACCTTCTATTGTCAGAATGTACTTTTCACCCTGCCTTTTGGTATGTGTATGGCACAGGGTGGGTTGGCCTCCCTTCCCTCTCTCTTTAGGGAAGTAAAACACTGCTGATTACAATTATGTACCAATTATGTACTACTCTGCTACTTAACATTATTTCAAGTACAAACTGCAGACCAAATATTTAGCTAAAGGATGAAATGTCCTGCTGGAAGCTGAACAACATGCCTTGCTAGCTAAATCTCCAAACCTTCACCCAGGCAGGACACAACAAAGAGGTGTGGCTCAAGCACTGCAGACAGGAGTGGCATAGCTTTACAGAAGGGTCTATTTGTCTTTACCACTTCCAGTGCCATTGCCTCTACTGTGCCTGCAGTGACAGTCCATTCAGAGAAGCTAGCAAAAGAGATGGTTTCTTTAAAATGAAATTTTCCACTCTAAACCCAGTTTTTTCTATCAAATTGCCATTTTTTATGTTTCTTAGTTTAAAGCAGTTGCAAATTCATAAGACCCTGTGAGGTTACAACTAGAACACTGCCATGTCATTATAATATGTGAACAAAAATGGGCTCCTGTTAAAAAAGAAAACACCAAACTGTTTCCTTGGAAACTTCAGTTTCATTAGTTGATAAAGTGACTTTCAGTACACAGAAGGTCCAAATTCCAGTCAGTATTCCCTAATCACCTAAAGCAAATAAAACACTATGTGCTATAACTCAGTTATAGAGAGCTGCAGACAGAAAAGCTCAATGCAACTGTACTATAATAAACAGCATAAGAAACTAATATTGTATTTAGCAAGAAATCCCTTCTCCACTCCCTCCTCCTTTAAAGATAACTAGTCCACTTAGGGTTATATCTAATGAACACCACAAACTGAAGTAACAGCCTTTTCAGGTTGCTTCATGAATTGCTGTTCCCCTTTGAGCTGTATAGCCTTACTCCAGATAATTTCTTTAGTACTGAAGTAATCCAATGTTTTAGGGATGCTTTCTCTTAATATAATATAGCAAGAAAAAAATATTTGAAAAACACTACTATACATGTAAGATCCTTAGGGTAAAATCAGGATGATTAAATTGCAACGCATGAATGATTAATGACCTAAAATGCCCTGAGCCCAAGTAAGTGTTCAAAATCCATAGATCTGAGTTAATGCAAGAATCAACAGCATGCAGCTATTTTTCACCTTAACTCATTAAACAATATATTAAATCACAGAATGGTTCAGGTTGGAAGGAACTTTAAAGATCATCTAGTTCCAAAACCCCTTGCCATGGGCAGGGACACCTCCCACTAGACCAGGTTGCTCAAAGCCCCATCCAACCTGCCCTTGAACACTTCCATGGATGGGGCTTCCACAGCTTCCCTGGGCAGCCTGTGCCAGTGTCTCACCACCCTCACAGGAAAGAATTTCTCCCTAATATGTAATCTAAATCTACCCTCTTTCTGCTTGAAACCTCTACTCCTTATCTATTGCCAACTATCCTTGTAAAAATCTATATTAAATATTAAAAGGAGTTTCAGATTTAGACAAATGTCACTAAACAGAACAAGCACTGGTGGTCAAGAGCAACACCTGGAGAAGAATGGCAAAGAAAATCCCATTTAGCTGTCCTTGCCTGGAAAATCTAGGGTAAGACTAGCATCTCCAATTGCAGAGATGATCCAAGACATTTGTCTTTCAACCCCATTACTTCTGCTACTAGCTACACTCATTGGCACCTGGTAAACATACAAATTCAAGAATGAATTAAAATTTGAGAATTCTCAGAGCTGAACTGACAATGACCTTGTTTGTATATATATAGCAGCATTAAAAAATTATTTATATGGAGAGTAAATCTATTCTAAAAATACATCACTAGCCAACATTGGTAATGGTAGAAAGTGAATCAATGGCTATACCATCCCAGTCACTTCTTCTTTAAAAAGATTACCACAAGCAGCCCAGAAATAGTCTTTTCAAGTTCATTTTAACTTCAAAAACATTTCATTGGTGATATTGTATTATAATCTCCTCTCTGTACCACACGCAAGTACCAAGTACATGAACAACTTAAACATACAGAGAAAGACAAGTATTTTATTTTTTTTACTGGCATAGAAAATAGTCTCATTTTGTTTGGTCATTGAAACAGATGGTATTCATACTGCTAACTTTTATCTACAAAAGGAAAGACTACTGTTAGTAGTTTGTGCCATAGCTCTACCAAAGGTATCCATCAAAACATGTAATTGTGGGAATCAACTTGCCACAAGGGGGCAGAGTTGAATTGCATTTCCTTAGCATATGAAGTGAAGCAATTTCGTTTTGTTTTCACATAACTATGCAATTGTATCCCTGGGAGAGCACTGGACAGCAAGAATGCTTCCCCTCATTCTCATTCATAGGGTGTCCTCCTTCATTGCACAAAGATTTAAAGTATTCTTTAACCAATTACCATAAAGTTTATCAAACATTTTTTAATACTTCAGACGTTTATGAGGTAGCTTACCCTCAAAATGCAGTGTAAGAGAGGCAAAACAAGATACTACATTTAGAAACACAACAAATAAAAGCAGCATAACTGTTTATTTATGCAATAGAAGACTTGACTTAGTTGGTGGTTCCTCCCCCAAAGTTTAACAACTAGTGGTAACAAGATGGAAAAATACACAAAAGATACAATGTGACTCTTATGCAGAGGAAAAATAGTATATAGCAAGCCATCCTGTGATCTTTAACAGTGAAGTAGTATTTACTGCACAGTAAATAAATATCCCCTTTGCCTGGCTGTCACATGCATAATGAAGATTATTTTCATACCTCCTAATGTCACATTGCCATGAAGAAACCTCCCTTGATAAATAAGCCTTAAGATATTTGGACTGCTGACTTGTTCTTCTTCCCAATCTGAAAAGAAGCAAGAGAATTTTCAATTACATTGTAATAAGAACACCATTTGGTATTTCTCTCACCTATACCCAGGAAGGAAAAACCCCTAAGAACAGGACTCTTACATGAATCGCCAAAGAAAGCATCGGGTGAGGATACAGAAAGGCAGTTCAAGGCTAGAACTCCTGATAATCTATTTTTACATTCATTATTTGACACTGGGCATTGAAACACATAATTTCATGCCTGCAAATATAAATATTACTAACTTACATGAGAGACTGAATCTGATACTGGGCACATACACAAGTCCTACACAAAATATTCCATAAGTACAAGTAGCCACCTGAGGTTTAATACCCACTCGGCTAAAACTACCTTAATTTCTTTCCATTCAGAAGATTCTCAAGCCATACTCCTCACCAGCTAACGGGAGTCGTTCTCGAGCAACGGGAAGCAGCCGCATACACAGCAAAAGCACATGCGATGGAGCTTTTGAAACAGGATTCTCAGCTGGCAGCACTGAAAAGGCTCTTCGTGCTGCTCAGCGTTCGATGACGGCCAGATCCGACCAGTGAAACGCCCAGAGGGGACACTGACCTGAGCAGCCCCGACGGAGCCTGAACAGAGCGCTCTCACGGAGGAGGTGCTGACTGAGCCATTTTAAGGCACTTCTTAAAGGCTGATCTGTGGATGTTTTTATGTGGCAAACAGTGATTCGGGAAAAGCAAGAGCGCATTTTCCTATAATGCATTTCCTATAATGCCTAAGCATCCATAAATAATTTATAAGCTTAAAATATCTTTTCCTACTCTTTTACCATTCCCTGTCACAATGTGAACAACAAATAAATGTGTACTTTACTTTCAGAACAAACATCATAAAACCTTAAAATGTTCTATTTAAATGTGCTCTCTGGGAATACGTCTTCTGTTTCTTAGCTGACCAGATATCTGGCAACAGCTGTTCACAAATGTTCTCCCTTTCTGCTTTTGTAGTGTTTATATACCAAAATGAATATTCAGCAAGGGATCATGACAAGTAACAGAAACCAACCTGTTCACTGGGGCCATACAATTAACATACAGTCAGTAGCAACTAGCACCACAAAAAAAAAGAACTGAAAAGGGGAGAAGAGGAAGCATTTAAAACAAAAGCTCCGGCTGCGGAGGGTGTTTGGGGAGGCATCTGGTGTGCAAAAGCAAGCAGGCCATCACACAGCAGAGGGCAGGGCTGGTACCCAGAGCAGGCGCTGCTGCATGTTCCTGCTTTATGAGATTAGATCCCATTAGACAACCAAAGCTATTTTGAATCTCAAGGATTTCCACTCAGAGTCTGATTCAATTGTCTTGCAATTCAAGCACATGCCCGTTTTGCTATGCTGTGAAGGGGGCTGTGTTAAGGAACTTAATTATCACACTGCTAGGATTAATGTTTTTTTTGGAAGATACCAATTTTTCTATTTATTTATTTTACTCCATACAGCCTGAACTCCACTATACTATGACTGTAAAGAGAGGTTCAGCCAGTTTAAAGTGCCCTCATGATGTAAAACAGCAACCAAAAAAAGACAGACTGTATCTTGGCACAGGTATTTGCTCATTGTTAAGCTGCCAATTTACCCATCCTTTTAATTTTTGTTTCTTGGCTGGCAGTCTGAAACATTTCTTTTTGACATTATTTCAAATTTTAATTTCCACTGATGACTACATGAGCCAAGCAGAAGATATTTACCTACAACTTTTTTTTTTCTTTTTTTTTCTTTTTTCTTTTTTCTTTTTTTTTTTTCTTTTAAGTTCAGCAGATAATTGCCATACATTAAAAAGCTTTATACTGTTTAGAAGAAAATGGGCGGAGGGCTGCTGGGAAGAACACGTAACTTATCTACATTATATACCTTAAAATAAATTTGGCGTTTTCCACTAAAAGTCAAGAGATCCTTAACTAACAACTATATTGCAAAAAGAGGGGAGGAGGGGTTTTCCTTGATCTTGCCAGCATGTGCCTAAGGATACTTTATGACTTTTTTCCCCCCACAAGATCATAACAAGTCAAAATGGTGGTAAACCCAGACGTTTCATATAAACTCTATTTCAAGAAAACTTTAAGTCCTCATCAAGATTTCACAGCCCTGTGGCAAAGAAGAACACTCTCAGTCTGAAAACAGTTAGTAGGCTAATGCTTGTGAAAACCTATTCACTATTCTGAAGTAGATTTTTCCTGTCTTTTGAATTTACACCATTCTTCTTTGCACAGGCAGTTAAACATTCATCAAGATTTAGACTAAGCACTCCAGCAAAGGACAGTAGGTATTTCAACTAAGGCTTCCATGTTTGGTTCTACTTTTCTTATTCTTAAAAAAACCCACAAAAACAAAACAAAAAACATTCAAGAAAAAAAAGATACTTTAAAGTCTGGGTTTCTTCCCAGCTCTAAACTCATAATCTGGAGCCTTCAAGCTCTTTGCCAGACTGGGAACATGACACCACATGTTCAGGAATAAACTTGAGTAAGAAAAAAAAAAAATGTTCTGCTTTTACCAGTTCATATAGAAAAAGAGATAACATTTGGTCATGACAACTTTGTTGTAGGCATAAATTAAAATACGTAGAGTAGCTACACAGATGCTACAACCACTAGATTTCTTACTGTAAATGTGTTTTACATCTATTATACTTCAGAGAACTAAAAACCTCCTCCTTCATGACATATTTTACTAAATATATAATGCTGCATCCCAGCAGAAAAAACCAAAACAAACCAACCAAAACACAACAGCAGAGAAGTCCCCTGAAACTTTGTTCTTACAGACCTCAATTAACAGTTGAAGGCCTAAAATATGGCTTATCAAGACTAACTTTTTGGTATGAGTTATCATCCGTCATAGCTTTTTGACAAAGGCACCACACAAACATACTGCAATGTTTTAGTTTGTGAAAAAGCAGTCTTTTTTAACAGCAAAACAGTAACCCAAATGAAGTCCTGTACCAAAAGAAGCATTTTCTTTCATGGTATGTAATGTTATGTCTGTGTTTTGGCTATTTTCCCATGAAATCATAGTCAGGGGAACAGAAGCACTTTGTTTTTGTGGAACTATTCACATATGTGAATACACATCTTAAGTTTTCAGTTACATTTTCTGAAGCTAGTATTCCTACATAACACCAAGTATATTCATACAAACAACCCCAGTTTCCCTTGGTCTTTTAACATTTCTTAAAATGTTCTTTAATATTTGTTGTGTTTGGGGTTTTTTTTCCATGGAAAAATATCATTATTACAGATCCTTTCCAAGGTAGTGCAGTAAGGAAGAAGTACTTCAGACTCAGTTTCACAAATGTGACATGCCATGTTTTATTTACTTCAGCTGTTTTCATGTAAGAGGCTTTGTATCTTCAAGATTTCCTCATGCTTACTAGGATACTCTAACAAGACTGATCAAGAAAAGCACCTGAAGATAAAGGGAAAGAAGTACTTCAGTTTGGGGAAGCAAATTTTCGTAGTAAAAAGGAATAGTCCAGACATTTAAAAATCTGTCTAACCAAAGAAACAGGGAAAAAGAAGGCAACAGTTGTTTTTCTGTACAGATCTATGCCCAAATATGCAACAAACATACTGAATTTGAACCCTGAGAATGGAGATGGGTTTATTGACACTTTAGTCTGAAAATACAGGGAAGCTTCTAGCACACCACTTAAAAAGCCAAAAGCACAGTGCTACTCACCCATGGGCCAGTTGTCATACACATGCTTTGCGATATCTGCAGCAGAGTCATTTGGTGAAAACAGGAACTCTTTCGTTTTCCCGCTTACCAAGATGAGGCGCAAATTTATCTGTAAAAAACCCACAGTATTAGGAAAGTTCCCAAAGAATATTTAAATTTTTAAGGTTACTAAAAAGTTGCCGTTGGTTTTAGAAGATTGGTCCAAAGTGAAAAACAGTTGGGAAAAATAGTTTAAGACAGTATTAAAACAGGTCAATAAAATTTTGTTTACACATAATCTAGGAAAATTAAATTCTAACAGCTGGCTTTTTTGATAGTAAACACCAGAAGATTCTGGTAGGTAGTAATTGAATCAATTGTACCACTTAAAAAAAATTTTCAGCATAGTATAAAGAAATTCCAGCCAAGACACCCTGAGAACGTATCTTCTTGAATGAAAAAGAAAAATAAAATCCTGAAAAATTACCCTGAACAAAGCGCACTAAAAAAATTCTAATCTGCACCTTAACAGTCTTCGAGCCTCAGTAAAAGCCCTAGCATGCTCTCCAGAATGGTTTTTGTCATCCCTGATCTCACCCACTGCACCTCCTACAAAACACTAGGGAGTCAGACAGCATCCTTCCTCAGTCCCAGCTGCTACAGAACTTGAACCCGCTCTTGTCTTTCACTACAAGCAAAATGGTTGAAATCCACATGCAACGCACTCATCACATCACATCACAGTTTTTCTATCATGGATTTCCTCTATTGAACCATCAGTATCTTCAGCTATAACCTTCCTCTCTTCTATTTGCAAGTTACTGGATATAATTCCTTTTCTCTATTGTATTAAATAAGCTGTGTAAAGAGCTCACTGTGACATTATTTACAATACAAAAGAGATTAAATTTTGGCTCCTCAAACAACTGCTAGCAAGGTCACAAAATGTGTTGGGGTAGGTAGCACTTGTGAATGTCCATGGCAAGTAGGAGTCTAGCTGCCTGAATGGCATCAACTTTTAGCAAGACTTTGGCATACCTAGTGCTTCAATATTTTATTTTTTTTTACAAATCACGCTCTCAAACTGTGGCTTTCATTTTAAGTTGCAATGAAGCTTTCCTTGTTGGAATTCAGAAAACTTTTCTAAATCAGATACAAAAGGAAAAAAATTACAGCAATTCCCAAGTTTTCAAGGCTTTTCTGGGTCTCAGCACATCAAATTCACTGAACACGACAGCCCTGCCTCAGTTACCTACTCTCCACACGTTTCAGAAGCTCCAGATAGTCTCTTGTGAATGTTTTGGATTGGATTCATCCCACCTATCTTCAAGCACCTAATGGAGGTATCCAAATTACAATCTCTATTATCCTGCACACTTCAATGTCAATGAAGAAAATGACCTCTCCAAAAAGCAATTCAGTCTCTATTTCAAAGTGTAGCAAGGATATAAAGAGTTAGCATAAAGGGGCTAGTTTCCACTCCCTGTCCCTCTGCTAACATCTTTCAGAAAATATGAGTTCTGCCACTAGCACACAAAAGAAGTAAAGCAGTAGCTGTCTCTGAGAAAGCACCACAGCCACTGCAGGAGTATGGCTGCATACCAGGAAACTGAAAAAACAGAGAAGCTGTGGGAATGCTGTTTAGTAAAAGCCAATTAACAAAATTCATAACGCATCTGGCTGCAAACATTAAAGTTCTGTTTTCTTTCATATTTCTAGAATTATTAAGGAATTATTTTCAAATCTCACCAAGATTTAGCAGAAAACACAGACCAAGTTCCACTATCCCTGTTTACTCAAAAGACCTGGCGACTGTAATGAATTAAAACTTAAAAATGTTATGCCTAAATTCAGCTATGATCAGACTACATCCACGTGTTTTGCTTATGTTGTCTCTCAGTTTAAGTAGTTACCGCTCTCTTAGCTGTCTCCACCCGTGTATGTATAGACAACATTTTTATGGTTTATTTAGCTGGACTACCCAAGACAATTTTTCAAGCTTTCCTTAGGTACGTTACCAGTTTACTAGGAGCCTGGCTCTGCACTTTTAATTTTCTTCTCTTTTCTCCTCAAAATAGATAACTATTTCTGTAGTATATTAAATGATGCCACACCAGATTCTTGTGTAACATGAATAACCTCCTCTGTCTACTAGAAGCATCTTAGAATGGTCTGGGTTGGAAGCGACATTAATGATCATCCAGTTCCAACCCCCTTGCATGGGCAGGGACACCTCCCACTAGACCAGGTTGCTCAAAGCTCCATCCAACCTGGCTGTGAACACTTCCAGGGAGGGGGTATCCACAGCTTCTCGGTTATTATGCCCCAAGAGTACAAATACCTTCTTCATAGCTGTACATGAGCTGTTTGTTTGTTTGTTATCCTTGACTATTTTAATCCTTTCAGCCTCCACATTTATAACCTGATATTTTGGCTATAACATATTAAAGCATAAGGGTCCAAATCTCATCCCATCTTTTTATTCCATCCCTCTCAGGGAAAGAAGGCTAGGTGGAAGGAAGTATTCCGCATCATAAAGATATTTTGGATCCCCCTCCCATGTCTGGGCCCATGGCCTATAAAACCTCAAAACATCTATGTAACACTTCTTGCTCTCTGTGAAGAGCATTTTCCAAACATTGTCATCAGCAAATTCGAGAAGCAAGACCCCTTTACAGGTACCTTTGTCATTAAATGAATCAAGAAACATAAAACTGATAGGACAACTGAATCGTAACAATTCCAATAATGAGCTCTGAGATGGTTTCCCCCTCCTCTCAGCTAGGTCCTTTACAGTCAGCCCTTATATACAGTCACAATTTCTCTACTTCTCTCTATTAAATCCTAATTTATCCTATTTAACCGACAGTTTGCAATATGGCAACACATCAATTACTATTTACACATTCAGACGAAATAATAAAAATGTCTATGTAGAAAATAAGTTCATTGAAAGTCAGCTTGCCTGGCTTTCAGAAGCATGGTGTACTGCACTCCATTCCACTTTCTCTATACTTCATTATCTTTAATTATCCTTTAAGTGTTAATGCATCTCATTACAACACCAACATACTGCCAGAAATTTAAGAGCTTTAGACTGTATCACAGACTGTTACTGTACTTGGGAATGGGCATCTGTTTAGAACACAAACAAACCAACCCTCCCCAAATATTCAGAACTAATGCCTGAAATAGGCACTAGCAATAAGGAGCTTCTTCACAGAAGCCCTCCTGCCTCTCACTCAAATATCCCCACATCCATTTCCTGACTGGCTTCTGATTTTATGCAGGGTGTCTAAGGATTTCTTTTCCCTCCTCTGTGTGCATTTATCTGTGATGGGGATTACCCATTTTGAAAATCATAACACTTTCCTAGGCAGTAGACATAACACCAAACCATCAGCTCCCTAGAACTGTCTGATTTGACTCCTGCAAGATGATGATTAAAAAACAACCCAGTTTTGAATTATCAGAAGCACTGAAACAAATAAGGAAAGGAGAGGAATATCACAGAGAAAAGTAAAAACAATATAAGCAACAGGGGAAAAAAAAAACACATAACAAATGTTAGTTCCTTCCCCTCCACCTCCCAAAGATGGATACCTTAATAGTGCTTAAGTTTGTGGCTGCTGAAGAGTATTTTTTACAGTCTTACTATGAAGTATAAAAGGTACATCAAGAGAAACGAATAATTTTACAAGATACACTATGTGTGAAATGCAGGAGAAATATCTTAATTTAAAAAAAACCCAAAACATCACTAAATATCAGCAGAAGCCCAAAATAAATCCTTAAATCAGTCAAGCAGATGTTGCATCAAGTGCAAGGAAACAGCTGCTCTAATGAAAGGTTCAAGTATTTTCTTATTTATAGTACAGCATGCCACTGACACATTCAGTTTGCATGTTTGTCTAAATATATATAAGATAGATATATCTCTTTATATTTCTTAAGTCTTGGCTTGAAGGATCTTAGTATTGGAGCTGCACACCACACTACTTCAAAGGGTTTGAAGCAAAGAATCCCCAAACTTGCCTTTAGAGTCTAACCTCATTCCCTTAAAAAGAACTGGGAAGTTTAATGGCTTGCAACTACTGTACTACTTATTTTGCAAGCCTGAGAACCTCACTTCAAGCAAACAAACTATAGGATATCTGAAATACATCTTCCTGACAAAAAGCTACTAATTAAAGTTTATATGAAGGGGGAAAAAAAAATTAAAAGAACGGAAGGGAAGGGTATGTGTCTACACATTTACTCAAAGGAAAGCGCAGGAAAAATCTTTGCTAGGTAGGGAAGCTTTGACACAGAAGCAGTAAATTATTTTTTTTTAAGTTATGAAAGGACTCTTAGTGGTCTTAACTATCCTGTGTCCTACTTCCTATGTTCAAAGTTAGCAAGGAAGTTGTATCTGTATCCTTTTTATACTTAAAGCCCCTCCACCTATTATTGTCAAAAGCCTTGGTCACAAGATGCTTTCATGATTATTGTGGCCCTGACAAGTTTGCTCTTCCACAAAGGACATAACTATGACCATTCTGATTTATATTTCCCCCCTCCCAGGCTACCACAGGGAATTCCAGCCTTCTGCTACAACAAACTTAGCAGGATCATATCCTCACACTTCTACAGTGTAGTATCAACTGCAAGGTTACTGATGAAAGCAGTTAAGAAGAGTCACATTATCAGAAGTAGGATTAAATACCATTTGTGGATTACACCCCCTCTGCAGCGTTACGTAATAGCACCTTCTGTTTGTGATCTCAAGCATGCAAACCTCACCCTCTCCCCCAGCCACACCACAGCCAACACCAACCTCATAATTACAGCTCCAGTAACTATCCCATCAGGTGCATCGCATACACAACAATAGTTTCAGGGTAGATTAACAAACTATTAACACTATCAACAAAAAAAAACACAACAAAAACCACACACACACCAAAAAAAACCCAACAATAAAAACAAAACAACAAAAAAAAACCCCAAACCCAAACAAACAACAAAACCTGCAACACATAATTTTTAAAAATATACATATATGCAAAGATTGCAGTAACAACCGTGACCACAACTTTTGGAATACAAATTTGACCATTCATATGCAGATGTAGAATAAGTTTGTTTGTT